TTTTCCACTTAACAGAGACTTTATTTTGCTTAAATGAAACAATTTCTCTTGCTGGGAAAAATTTCACTTTTATTTCTATAGAGCCAGTTTGCTCACTGTTGCGGTTGCTTTTGCCTTGCCTGTAGCACGAAAAGCGAAGCAACTCTAATAAATAAAATAAAAGGCAGTTGAATTGTCTGCCTGCGATGTGGCACATCCACATCCACGTTGCAGTTTCAACTACCAAACTCATCCAATCGCAAGTCTTTAACTTCGTTCAGCTTCCCAGCGATCATTTGCCAAGTATCTATTGTATCAAGCGTTTGAATTTAAAAGTAAACCCTTAAATACAATATTAATTTCCTATTTATTTTTATAAATTCTTCTACTGCGTAATTCTTTAAAAAAGTCACTTAATCATACCAAACTCCTCTCACTAAAACGCACTATTTTATGCCTGGTCGACAACCTTAAGCCATTTGCCAGAGATCCAACACTTCGAGCCACGCAAATGCATTTCCTTCTTCCATGCAAAGGTGAGGCCCCCAAAGGGCAAGGAAAAAATGCTTGAGGAAAATTTAAATTAAATCGTGTTTGAGTGGAAAATGCCCTCGGAGCCGAGAGGATTTTGGGGGGAGCGGTGGCGCGTGGCGCGAAGAAGTGGTATCTAATAAAATGCACATTATTGCGAATTCGTTATGGCCAAGAGCTCTGCTCTCGGCTCTTTGCTGAAATTTCCTCGCTGGGATGCGGGCCATGCAATTATGGTGACTTGGCTTCGAGAAGCTGCAGAGTGGAGCTCGAATCGAGTTTTCTGCGGCCTTCACCTCGCTTGGAAGACAGTGTTGCGAAGCGACAATTGCTCCAATGTGACGACAGATGTGCTCTGTCGTGGCTGCTAAGGAATTCGCGCAATTTGCTGCAGCAACATCAGCAGCGGCAACAGCAACAGCAACATCAACATCACAGCAGCAACAGCAACCATCAACTGGGAGTGACTTATGCGCATGCCCAGCAACGAGTTTTGTGACGGTCGAAAATCGCTGCCTCCAAAGTAAACAAACTTTTCTTCAACTCCCACCGTACCCCATTACCTCTCTCTCTCTCTCTCTCTTTCGGTACAGTCTGCACTGTATAAGTTTTTTCTTAATATATTTACATTTTTGTTGTTACAATATTGGGCTGTATACGAGTCTTAACATTAGAACTACAGCCCTTAAATGCTGAGAAAAATAAGGTAGATTTGTATTCGTGAATTTTTTAAAAGCAATATAAGAATGTGCCTCTTTATGTTTATGCTTTATGTTCGAAAATAAAATAGGAGAAAAAGCTTTTTCTTTTTAAAAATAATAGTACCAGTGCAACACAAATTTATCTTAATACCGAACAGTATGTTTTTGTCAATTTTGTGAGATAATGTTAACGTTCTATGGAAAGCTCTTTTTTTTACAATGCTTATCATTCTTTTTGGCAAACGAAAATTCGTGTGAGTGAAGTTTCACTGTACATCTTTCTCTGTTCGCGCCTCGCTGCGAAAGCCGGTTGTTTGTTATTAGTTGGCCCCCAGACAATGTTGGCCATGTGTGCGGGTCTTGGTATGCGTGCGTTTGTTGGCCTTTTGACGTCTCCCTTGCCCGCTTCATCCTCCCATTCCCCTCCCCATCCTGCTGCCGTTGTTGCAAGTTCAGTGACTGCAGACTGCAGTCCGCTGAGGCTTTACACCGAAGCTTGCAGCCTTCGATCACAATCAGTTTACGCTTTGCTTACAAAATTGAATGACCAGCCATTGATCATCATCTGCGCTCAGGGGCGACAAAAAGGGGGGAAAGACCACTCCCCAGTTAGCATATGCTTGCACTGACCAACACTGTCAAAGGTCTTTGAGCCACGTTAACCAAATGGTCAATTTCCGCTTGTGCCCATCCATAAAATCAACAATCATGACTTATTTATAGACTCTAAGCTGTAAGGGGAGCCACGGTCGAGCTTATCAGTTTGTGTTCGTTGTGGACTTGGCATAGTTTACTCACCCAATCAGTCATTTTGGTGTGATTACTAAGTACTCGAATATTAACTGGTTGTCTTAACTGGTCTAAGGCACACTATAATGGCCTCTATTGTTCGAGGAATCACAATGCATGGCTTTGTCATGGGTTCGCAATCTTTGTGAAGTTACTTTATCTAAAGTACGAATAGTAGAAAGTTTAGTGGTTTCTCGAAAAAAATTAATAAAGGAATAATTTCACTTAATCGCCTAGCGCTGAATGGGGTGGGTTTCTTAGGTGCATCACTATAAATTTAACAAGACTTTTAGCTAAGAGATTTTTGTGACACCACTGTATATTTTGTTTCATCACTACCGATTGTAATCTTTATTTCATAGATTTACTGCTCCGTAATGTTGCATACCTAAAATCACTGCTTTTCGAATCATTGAATTAACTGTAGAATTGGTTGAATTTATCTTAGCTCTTTTGAAGTAAAGATTTTATGTGATCCAACTAAAGTGATTTTTAAAAGTTTCTTGGTAGCCATTCTTTTTTTTAAAGAACTCTGTAGTATAGATTTTTTATTCAGCACATTAAATGTACATCTATAAAGTTAGTTGGTTTACTACATGAAAATGAACAATATAGCATAACAGCGATTCTTTATTACCTTTCGTCGCTCGTTAATACCGACAGGCCAGGAACCAGCTTATCGGCAAGACAGCTTTCAAAGCAAACAATAATTGTAAAATGCAATTGTAAAGCTGTAAATCGTAGCATGGAGAGCTACAGCAGACAAGAGAAAACATTTGTCCATCAAGCCAAAGCCAAAGCAATGGCAAAAGCCAAATGCACTTGACATTCTACGGTTCTTTGTTCTTGCAGCTTTTGTCTAGATGAGCTTGAATTCTCTTAAATTTGTTTTGACTTAATGGCTTTCTTTTTGTTTTATGTCTGCTATTTCTGTAGTTTCGTTTTTTAGTTTTGCCTAAAAAAGAACAACAACCAGAACAACTTTCAATTTGTCTTTGAAATTTGTATTTTGTCTTACTTACACACTATTAGTAATTTTGTCACGCAATTGCACTTTTTGTCTTTTGTAATTGCTTGCATTTTTGTAAAGCTCTTTCTACTTTGTATGTCTAGCTGGGCATTCGGTTCATTGATTAGATTTTTATACAGACATACTGAGGGGTGGGGTATGGGCCATACATCGTATCAGTTTGTTCTTCGGCCATTCTTCTGGTGAAAATGTCTGGCTGGCTTTATGGTTTTTTGATGAACGAAGAAAGTCTCTAGACGCCTGACCATATTGGTCAGGTTCCCCCTTCTCCAGGTACGTGCTATTGAATTGAGGCTTAACTGGGTTTTTTGGCTAAAGAAAGTTGGCTTTTCATTCTGTCAATTAACGAGGCGGAAAGTGTTCTATTATGTAGATATTTGAAACACTGTCGTACGCACGTCCACTTGATAACTTGCTCCGAGTTATGATTGTGGAATTATCTTTATCAAGTAATTTAAAAGAAGAGAGATCACTATAGTCGAGTACCTTATCAATCAGAGGAGATGGAGATATGCCAGCAGCAAAGCAACATTTCATCATTTGCACATAACTTTTTAATGACAGATTCGATTTTAAAATTCTTTTACAAGTCTGTGAAGATGCGCCAGACACATTTTAAGGTCGTTTAAGGCGATTGGACAAGGGGTTAATTACATATTGCTGATGATTATATGCTAAAATAGCCATTTTAATGGGTTTCTTTAAACTATTTATTTGCAACAGAATGCGTGAAACACTTCGTTGGTGTTCTGCGTACCTCTCCAATTGAATTTATATTGCCACGCCTCGTTGCCGTTTTATGATCAATTTAGTAAATGATCCCAACCCTTTGGGCTGCCTTCACTCACAGCGTTTGATCTTCAAATGAATACAATATCATCAGATGGATCTGCAAAATCATCGCTGCCTCAGCTAAAATTTCCTCAATTTCTTTGCGTGCGCTAGAAATGTTTCTGTGCGTTTTAATTGCGTATTTATTAGCAACTGGCACGGACACTCGAATCTTTGCCTCGCGACTTCGTTTAATTTTATTTTTCACATTGGCGCTGCGCTTCCAGATACAAGATACATCTTCGCTTTGGCGCCATGCGGGCAATAAAAATGTTTATTTTTGCACACCGAAATGACGACAACCAAGTTTTGTTCATCTTAATTGAAACGGCCTGGGATGAAGAGTTGGAGGTGGATGGCGAGCGGCCCCAAAAGGCCGACAGAAACCGAAACCGCGAAAATATATTCATTTTATAAAACGTTGAAGATTTGTCAAGAATTTCGATTCGACTACGCTTAGCCTGTGGCAATTTGATGAATAGTTCGTCCCATTCCTTGTCTTGCAAAGTGATCGTCGTCAAACTTAATTGTCTGAGAAAGAACCAAACAACGCATTCAATCAATATTGATTCGCCGATAGATACTCATCTTGCGGCTTCTCCTTCTTTTTCTTGCCTGCATAATTTTCTGTAATTCGTTAGTTGATGCCGAGCTGTCAAATGAGCAAAAAAGCAACGAAAATAGCGAGTTTTGGGACTATTTTTATGCTTTTTCGCCCTGGCTGGGTGATCTTCAGGAATTTTGAGTTCTTGGCTGCGTAAAAATTAAAATATCGCCAGCTTGTCGAGGGTGTTACGCATTTTTGGCTGCGCAAATTATGCAGGCTGTAATAAATTTTCAAAAACTTTGCAAGCAATATTTTTAAATATGATAAATATTGTTATTAAAGTGAAAATACTTATTTCATCATTGATTGGGTAATATTAAATAATGGTACGTTCTGAGATAGTAACAGTTTCTTGGATTTGATAGAATAATTATAATTTAAATTAAAATTTATTTATAAGAAGTAATGGACCTTACAGATAAATTAAATGATTTGAGCGCCTCAATTTGGAACTCAGTTTGTTAATTTATTATTAAATCGCTTTATTTTTTGGAATAAATTTAAATAATTAATTTATCGATTTTCTTATCTCTCTTGCAGTATTTTATGTGGCCATAAAAAATTTGACGAAAAGAAGCCTAACTACTTTGTTTGGTAAGTTTCTCCCACCCATTGTTAATATGTCACGAATCTTTTACCCCACCTTTAAATTTAACATTGCTGAGTTGAGCACTGTAATATTTGTTATTCATTGCGAATAATCGAATAAATTATGAAATAAGAAAGTAATGGGGAGTGTACTTGATAATTCACATGCAAGATACTTTTTAACAGAATATTGGTTGGTAATTTTTTTCTTTTTTTAAAAAAATTAAAATTAAAAAAACTCTTTTTAAAGGGAACTGTGCCTTGTTTATATATCTGAATTTTTAGACCCTCGGATTAAAAATTCGAATATGAATCAGATCTTCGACTTTATCGCCAAAAATTTCAAGCCGAATTTAATGTTATCCATTTTAATGGCATAGCGCCAGTTCAGAGATCACGGGTTTTCTAGATTCTCGATAATTTATGGTTAATGAAATCGAAAAATTTTATAGAGCGTACAATTTAAATTAGTGAAATGGAAGAAAAGAAGATATAAATGTTAAGGCTGCCCCGAACTATAAAATGGGGAAAAGCTTTTATTTGGGTTTTTAATGTTTGCCAGACAAGCGCAAACGAAAACAATGTGCACAGAAATAGAGCAGGCCAAATAAAAAACCATAAAAACTGAAATTCGAAAAGAAGCCAAATAGATAAAAGAGAAAAAGTGAGGAGTAAGAAAATGCAATGAAAATTGAGTTATAGAAAGAAGAATACGGCGACGAATACAGCGCTAAAAATGCGCCTCACAGAAATAGAGCAAGGCATGTGGATAGAAATGAAAAAATTAGATGAAAATAGGTTCTATATAAATATATATACGTATATGTAAGCTATATATATTCACACGTATATCCGAGATATTTGTAGAGAGCTCAGCCAGACAGGAATTCTTCCCGTTTCTTCGAAGTGAAAACTCAGAGAAAATGGAGCTAAAAATTGGAAAAAGCGTATTTTTATTCTGTTTTTGTATTTTCCGATTGGCGCCGAGACATCTTGGGATTTATGGCGCTTTGCTTTAAATATTTCCGTTGATAATCGGAATTCGCCTGCAAACAGAAAAGAGACCAAACTTCCAATAAAGAACAAATAATTTCACATAATAATCATCAAAATTACGGTTAGATTAATCGCTCGGTATTGCTGAAGTATGTATTCATATAAACTTTATATTTCTCAAATTGCCATTTGATTTAAATTTTTTTCGACTTATCGTCTTTTGGTTAAACATATCTTTTATGTCAATCCCCAAGATATGGGTCTTTCTCAAATCGTAAAACGCTCAGCAGGTCAATAATACTGCCCCCTTCCTTAACTTAACCCCGATCCAATCTCTTTAAGCGAACAAACTCAAAATAGACTTTCTATTAATTTACGAGTAAAGCATTTAAAAGTCGTCAAATTATTCATAAAATAAATGACATATTCACAGGTATACTTTTAGATTACTTCGATGAATATTATGGTATGCATAATAATTTTTCGACTTAGGGGACACTTGTTTTGAAAGTTAACTTCAAGTCAAATCTGAAGAAAAGTTTGATGGACATGGGGACAGGTTGGAGAAGCTAACAAACGTATTGTTAATTGTATGTATATCTTAGACGTTTGAATAGCAAGCCATATTTGAATTCTTCTTTTTGAGTTTTGATTCTTTCACTTGAGTTTTGCACTCTTTCAAAGTCAATTTTTGGGTTATTCTTTTTTTGTCTTTCAGACTTGAAGACATAATCGTAAGAAACCGATTTCCAAAGCGAACGAGTATGAAAACAAACAATAAACTTTTTCCTAGAATTGGATACCATTTAATGTTGTCAAAGCCCTTTTCCTTGTATTAGCTGGGTTTAACAAGCCACCGAAGAGCTTTTTCTTTACAGAACATGTTCAGGAAACAAAGAGGAGAAACGGTAACAAATTTTAAAAAACGTTTTAAGTTAACGTAAGTTTTGTCTACAAATTTTTAAGTAATAGCAATTATTTATTTTTTTAAAGGCATTTTTGGAAAGGCATATGTTTAAAAATAGAAGAAAAAAGCATTTTCAAACGGTCACGTTTTTAAGATATCGGCTGATATATGATTTATTTTTAGGACATAGCAATCAACCATTTTAGCAGTTTTTATTTCAATATCTTTAATGAAATACTGAAGGTAAATTTCTAAATTTTTTTAACGAACATTATTTTTTACCTGAGACATTGAAATGCCCACCTCTTTGTAAAAAAAATACCAAATCATATTGTCGCCTATGTTTTGGGAATATATCGTTAGAAAATATGTTTCTCTTCATTTTTGGAGATACATTAATGAATGGAATGCAGGTAGTATAATTCCAAGTTAAAAATTAATTATTACAAAAGAGAAAAGAAAAAAAAAATTGCAAATTGGGGAGCTATAATACAAGCCTAACAAACCTTCTTACCTTTTATTAAGTTTATCTCCCGTTGGGCTCCTGAGTTCATTTGCATTGTAATAAAAGTCCTAATTAAAATATAAAATATGCATGCCCATGAAATATAATATTTCACGGTCAAGTCTCCAGGGCAAAGGAATAGAAATAAGATTATGTGGCAGGGGAGGCAGCACACCTCCAGGAATAATTGTGTGGGGTTAGGAGGAGGTTGTACCTCGATGATGATGATGACGACCGCAAAACGCGCTGATGACTCTGCTACTCTTCAGTGTCTTGGCCTCTTTGAATCTTCGGTCTCGGCAGAGCCACTTCAGGTGGCACTTTACACTCACTTCGGTACAAACAGTAGCAAAATTGTTCGACTTCATTTGTTTCCTCCAGCCATGGCTTTGTGTTTACGTTTTTCAGTTTTCTCGTTGTTATTATTGCTACTGCTTTGCCTGGGTATATTATAATCATGAAATTTTCTCAACTCAATTCCCACGCATATTTCTTGGCGTCGTTGTAATAAAAATAATAATATTTTTTGTGGTTGTGGAATAGTCCCACTCATTTGCCAAGCATCAAGTGCCCGCGAGTTTGCTGAGGTTAGAGGATTATATAAGGCCATGTCGGAGAATTAAATGCGTTTTCCTGTAGATGAAATTGATAAATTCAAATTTGGAAAAATGTGGCCCGATGGCAATCTCCGCTGGTGGGATGCATTTTTCGAGAAAAGTGGTTTCGATATGATTCTCTGATAGAAAAGAAAGTTTTTCTCTTTTATCCACTTACTTTTTAGTATCACTACACTATTTTGACTTTAGATTTCTTCCATTTAAATTAAATGCCGGCGAATTTTGGTTATTTTGAACACTGTATATCCCCATTTTTTTATTCTACTCTTTTGGGAACTCGGCTTGTGCTTAGAAAATTGATGTGCAAGGTGACACAATGCTTGGTTTCTTCTGTTCAGATTCCAAAAAGAGAAGTTTTGTTGCACAATGAACATTATAAGGTACTTTATTAAAAATGATAATATTTACATAGATGTTTATAATACGTTGTATAAAACCTAAAAACATTACATGGTTTAACATTGAAACTAGCTTACACACGAATCACATAAATGGTCCGAGTGTTAAGTCCCAACTTTCTAGTTTGCATTCTTAAGGATATCTGAACGGTCCTTCTTATTCTGCGAGTAACGGACTTAATGGCGACATATTTATAATAATGTTAAATAACAAAAAACTAAATTTAAATAATATTTTAAATTATTTTTATGCCACTAGTCAGAAAATATTGAGTCTTTTTAAATACAAATGCTTTAAACTTTCACAAATGCTATAGTAATTATAATATACAAAAAAACTGTTATTTTGTTCAAATTTCATCAATCAATTATTGCAAATTGAAAAATGAGCAGTCAAAGAATGTGGAAATGGAAATGCGAAGCTCGCATGAATGATTTGAGTAATATGAATGGAGAACCGAATAATCTGCATGAATGCGCATACGAAAGTCGGAAACAGACGTGCACCATTCTATAAACTGGGCTAAATCCCATAAGAGACGTGTGAGATACAGAAAACACACTTAAAAATATGAGAACCGAAGAAGTAAAGATTATAATGTTAATTTTCAGATGTATCTTTGTTTGTTTGTGTTTCGTTGGTATTTGCATAATTTTTGGCTCTGAATCGTGAGCTTTTGTCTTTTGTTTGGCTCTTGCCATTTGCTTTCTGGCACTTTTTTTTTGGCTCGTTGGCGTTTCAATAAAATTATAAAAATAACAATTTGCTAATTTTTGTATCGCATTGCTAAATCTGTATCCGTATCTGATGACGATGATGAAGATGACAATGACGACGACGTTCTTTTGCGGTTGACGGGCGACTGTGGGCGTCTTGGCTTATAGCTAAAATTTGTTCGCTCGTTTCTGGATTCCAAAGAATTTCTCGAGATGATATCATATACCGCATAGTTGCCATTGCGACGACCACGGACGGAACTCATTCTCCTGTAACCCAATTGTGTCTGTCCATCAAAGTGATGCTGGGTCGTCTTCCCTTTTGCGCATCTTCCGCATGCAAAGATCTTAACTCGGCAATAACCTGAGCTGGCTGGGCGGGTGAGTCACGAATCACGGATCATCATCATCATCAGCCTGCCTGACCAAACCAGTCTCTTACTTTTTTTAAGGATGTGCTGATTAAAATTTACGCACAAGGTCATTCCGGCTCTACGCCTTAAACTCTTTTAGACATGAAAATTAATGCATGGCATAAATATTGCCCATCGAAAAAGAGTGAGAGGAGAAGTTCGCGCGATCCTCAAGGCGCATTTAGTTTAATCAACAACTGGTTGCTGAGCTTGCACAGAGAAAAAAATATTATTAAGTCTTCGGTTTATTAGGTACAAATTGCTCCTAAGAACACATTTATTCTTTATTATTTATCTCCATATGATCTCTAAGACATATACCTTTCAAACTGTAAAGTGGCTTAAACTGAAATAATGGTTGTTATAGAGAATGGTTGTTCGAGAAATAGCGAATTTGTTGGACGATTTCGATTATATTTTTTCCAGTGTGGTTCCTGGAAGTTGTGGTCTCCT